TCGTCTCTGGCTCCGGATTGAATTCTTCTCCTCCGGAGGCCAAGAATCCCTGTGTCTTTTGTGGTTCAGCAACAACCTTTCATGCCAGTGCAAGAGACATAAGAGACACAGGTTCAATTCCTGGGTTGGGAAGATCCCCTGGAGAAGGGTATGACAACCCACTCCAGTATTCATGCCTGGAGAACTCTATGGTCAGGGAAGCCTGGCAGGCTACAGTCCATGGGGTCACAAAGAGTTGGACACAACTGAAGCAACTTAGCACAGGAAGGAAATAAGACTGGGGACAGATAGGATGCAAATAATATTAAGAACAATGACCACTTAATATGCACCTGGCACATATTAAGTACATTCTGTGTATTATTTCACTTAAACCTCACAGTACCTCTATTTGGTTATGATGATCATTACCATCAGTATCTTACAGAAGGGAAAACTGAAGCTCTGACACCTAGAATGGCTTTAAGCTGAGATTTGAACATAGGCAATCTGACACCAGAGATAGAATGTGCAACTGCTGCATTATACTGCTGCCTACAAGGAAAGCAGGAAATGGGAGAAAGAAACACAAGACAAAGGAGCAATACATTTGAAGTATATAGATTGAGGCAGCATAGTGTCCAGATTAGATCTGAATTTAAGATCAAAGTTTTATCTCTTAAGATCAGAGGTTCTACCTCTGCTTCTAGTTACTGAGTATTTCCGGACCTCAGTTTCCTCATCGGTAAAATGGGAATAAAACTATTCCTTAGGGGCTTCCCTGGTGGCTCAGTGGTAAAGAATCCACCTTCCAATGAAGGAGATGAGGGTTCAACCTATGGTTGCGGAACTAAGATCCCACATGTCACGGAGCAACTAAGCCCATGCACCTCAAATTCTGAGCTTGCACTTCAGGGCCCATGAGCCAGAACTACGGAGCCCACATACTGCAACTACTGAAGCCTGCATGCCCTAGAGCCTGTGCTCTGCAACAAGAGAAGCCACTGCAATGAGAGGCCCTCACACCACAACTAGAAAGTAGCCCCTGCCCGCTGCAACTAGAGAAAAGTCTGCACACAATGATGAAGACCGAGCTCAGCCAAATAAATTAATAAATAAAATTTTTTTAAAGAAAAACTATTTCTTAGAGGATAATTTCCTGGTGGTCCAGTGGTTAGGACTCCATAAACAGGAGCAACTGATGGAGCTAACTGCTGGATTTGCCAGCAGTACAGCTCTCACTGCCCCTTATCAGCAAAAATACATTAGGAAGGGAAAAAACATTTATAAGCTGTCACGGAAATGAAAAAGTGGGTAGACCAACAATTTCACACATCCTATTCCCTTTCCTAGCTGTGTGTTGGGGCAGGGGGAGGCAGAAGTGAGCATCAGCAGTATTAGCTTCAGCATCTCCTTCCTCAAGGAACAGATCCCAAAAGGCTGCCCTCAGCCTCTGGTCACTTATAGCCTGGGTCAGAATTCCCATTTTTTCTTAAAGAGTTTTGTTTTTCCATGTCCTTTTCACATAGGTTGCTTAATTTTTCACATTTTCCCTGTGAGGTGTTGGGAAAGGAGAATGTAATCTCAGATGTATTGAGTATCTTCCGTGTGCCAGACAGAATGCTGGGCACTTTCCACCAGTGATTTCATTTCTTCTTCACAATACCACTGTGAAGAGGTACAGTTAACTTCACTTTAAAAGTAACATCCTGAATCCAGAGAGGGCTGCTTCTTTTTTATGTACACTTTCCTCCCATTCCATACATCCAGCACAATGCTGCCCTAAGGTTGTGTCCTGCTGAGGATTTTCTGTAAAACGAAAATATTCTGAAATGTCACCGTCCTTCACATGCCAATCTTTGCATAATCCCAAAGCCCATACAGTGAGAGTAAATTGCCCCCAGTGGATCCGAGATTAAATGATGACTCTGCTCCTTATTAGCTATATGATTTTGTGCTAATCACTTAACTTCACCTCTAAAATAGGGAGAGTGGTATCTCCTACTCCACAAGGTTGTGAATATTAAATAACTTTCATGAAAGGGCTCTGTCAATTGGGATACTTCATGGAAACATTACTTAAAAGAGAACTATCAGTCAGCTTAATCTCAAAAGAACCCTAGAAGGACAATGTAATGCTGACATTCGAACAGGTAAGACTCCAGATCTGCTGCTGGGGTTGGTGACTTTGGAAATGTTAGGGGATAAAGAATGTAGAAGTTCCCTGAAGTGACTGTTAAAGAAATTGCCTTTGATCATTATCAATGTGTGACTTATATAATCATAGAGACATCTAACTCCTTCACATCACATACTTCTCAAAGCCATTTTATCAACACTGTTTCATATGACATTCACCAAAACCCCCAACAATTAGTGTGTACCAACTAAAATTGTTCCACTTGCTTTATCACTATTTTACTCTTTCTAGAAGTGGCCCATCTGAATTTGCAAAATCTTCCCCATCTTCCCTTCAAGGCCCATCCATCACAAAGGCCTCTGGTCCAGAACCCCCTCTAAACCCCCAGAACAACAGTCTCTCTGCCTTCTGAATCCACACAGCACTGTACACCTTAAACTGCCTTGTATTCTAGCCATTTGTATTCTTGTCTTAACCTCTGCCCCACCTCCCCCACCTTCTCACTAAATCCACAAACTCTTTGAAGGGAAGAATGAAGAAGGAAAGACGGATTTCTTTGTTGTTTTATAGCAGTCCCATTTTTAAAAGCTTTTATTATGGAAATTTCACGTTTGTGTGTTTACTGAGAGAATAGAGGAAATATATAATGAGCACCCATGTACTCATCACCCAGCTTCAATAATTAGTAACATGAAAAATATTATTATCTCATCTAAACTTCCATTCCCTCTACCTTCTCACTCTAGATTACTTTAAAACAAATCACAGATAGCTTGTCATTTCACCCGTATGTACTCCAATACAGCCGCTGTCTTTTGCATTTCTGTGTCCTGTACAGTCGGAAGATTATTTGTATCTGTGTTCCCCACTACTCGGTGCATATCAGAAGGTGATTTCTGAGCACATACCATGTGCCAGACCTTGCGCTCCTCTGTGGAGGTTCTGTCTGAGCTAGGGAGGCACACCACGACCAAGCCTCAATGTCCCAAACCAAGAATTTCTCTCGTTCTTGAGAGTGAAGACTGGGAGCCCAGGAGCAGGACCTCTAATTGCACTAACTCAATTGAACTGCAGAACTTCCCTGTAGCTCAAGTGGTAAAGATTCTGCCTGTGATGGAGGAGACCAGGGTTCAATCCCTGGGTCAGGAAGATCCTCTGGAGAAGGGAATGGCAATCCACTCCAGTATTCTTGCCTGGAGAATTCCATGGACAGAGAAGCCTGACGGGCTACAGTTCATGGAGTTGTAAAGAGTCGGACACGACTGAGTGACTAACACACATAAAATTAAACTGAAAGGGTTTCCCTTCCAGAAACTAAATTCCAACTCGCCCGGAAACACAGGTTCTCCAGCAGGAGGCGCTGCAAAGTAGTGGGATGGGGTGCTGTCTCAGTTCAGTTTTCTCCTGCTGCAGCCGGAGCCAGAGAAGACAGAGCACCCACGCGGGTGCGAACTGTAGACAACGCAGTTTAGTTGGCGAGCAGGACGCTGAGCGCCAGGCCCTGTTAGGGGCCCCAGGGTTCAGGTGCCAGGCAGGGGCTTGGGGCGTAGGGCAGGCCGGGCACCAGCCCCCCAAGCCTTCTCAGTGCTGCCTGTTGCCCTGGGTGCCTCTAGCCCCCGCCCCAACTACCGCTCTTCCTGAGAGAATCTAAGGAGGGCACAGGACAGAGCGAGGAAACACCTGTTTCCAACAAGAAAAGAGGTGGAGGGAAACCCCCACCAGACTTCCAGTGGCCTCTCATCAAGCTTGTTCTCGAGAGCCTTGTAAAAGCGCGCCCAGAAAGCCAGAGGAGATCATTTTTCAAAAAGATCGCTTTCTATTTCTTACTGCACCCCCCCCCCTCCTTTTCCTAAGCTGTAACGTCCCTTTTTAAAAAATGCCTTCTTTCCTCTGTGGGGCTTCCCGCTCCTCCCAGACCCCTTAAGGCCCCCCGCCTGGGTGGCTGCAGGAACCGCGAACACCCCCCAGATCTCACATTTTGCAACTGCATGCGTTTCCAGATTCTTCACTTCCTCAGCCCCCTGCCGACATACAGGTGGGGAGTGGGCCTGGGGGTCAACAGAACAAAGAAACCAGGGACCCAGGCCAGGTGCCCCTCTGCAGCCTCCGACCAGTGGGGGAACAAGAGGGGACTCACGAACGAGTGAACCGCCCCCCCCCCCCCAGGTCTCACACCACTTTCGAAAGGCAAGCAGCCGGAGGCCGCGCGGGAGGTGGGTGCTGCCCCCGCGCAACAGACTTCCACGCAACAGGCCCGAGTGGCAGTGGACGCCAACAGCCTCCACGCACTGGGCTCCAGTTATTTCATCAGCAGTTTCAGAAAAACCTGCCAAAAGCAGTTATGCCTCACTGCAATGTGTAGCTTTTTCCTGCCATTTTTTCATAATAAAAGAGGGAGTGAAGCTCGCTCGCTCTCTCCCCCTCCACCCCCCTCTCCCAAAAAGAGCCAAAAGGATACGAGGAGGGGAAAACACACACACACACACACACACACACACACACACACACACACACACACCAATCTCCGAGGGGATGCCATTGAGGTGTGGCTTGTATTTAAATATCCAATATGTCAATGTAAGGGGAGTGGGTATGTATATAAAGTGCCGTTTGCATATCTGATAGCTCGACGAAGCCAGCTATGAGAGGCCTGGGGAGATGGATGTGGAGGGGAAGCGGCACTTTGACTGAGCGCAAGGTCAGGAGCGCGCTGCCCCACGCTCCCCGCCGCTGAGAAGTTCCTTGGACGCGAACAGACGTCGACTGCAGCTCCGCAGAGTTCGGAGTGAGCGAGCGAGCGAGCGCCGCCGAGTCGCCCGCGCCCGCGGCGGGGAGAGGCAGTTCGCGCCCCGCGGTCAGGCTCGGCCCCGCGCGCCCCGCCATGGCGGAGGTGGGGGGGGTCTTCTCCTCCTTGGACTGGGATCTGCACGGCTTCTCCTCGTCTCTGGGGAACGTGCCTCTAGCTGATTCCCCGGGTTTCCTGAACGAGCGTCTGGGCCAGATTGAGGGGAAACTGCAGCGCGGCTCGCCCACCGACTTCGCCCACCTGAAGGGGATCCTGCGACGCCGCCAGCTGTACTGCCGCACTGGCTTCCACTTGGAGATCTTCCCCAACGGCACGGTGCACGGCACCCGCCACGACCACAGCCGCTTCGGTGAGGACGCGGGGGGGAGGGACAGGAGGCGAACGGACGGCGCGCTGGGGAGCCGACGGCTCGAGGCTGCGGCTTGGGGCCGGCGGACCAGCCGTTTCCGCCCCGCCCGGCGCTGTCTGGGCTCCTCGAGGCGGGAGGCCGCTGAAGACGCGGGCAGGCGGGAAGTGAGGGTGCGGACTTGAGCAGGGCTGTGGCGTCGGGGCGCCTGGCACCCTCGGATGCTCGGGAGGAGGCGGGGGCACCTTGAGATGCGGCCTCTCCTTTCTCCACCCCACCCTACCTCCTCCGGGTGCTAGAGGGATTGTTCTAGGACCTGGACGCTGCGCTTCCCCTTTCAAGGAAAGCAGGTGGAGCTGGGTGGCCGGGTGGGGGGCGGGTAGGAGCATCCACCGAGGAGATCGGGGAACGTGGCTACAGCGAGAGGCTGAGCCTCGACGGCAGCAAGGTTGTCACGGCAGATTACCTGTAGCAGGAGCCTTCGTCAGCTGTTGGACCCTGTGTGCGGATGGCCCGCGCCCAAGTGGCTTTTGGCCTATGGGGACGCGACAGCCTTGGCACCTGCCTGCCTCTGTGTTGCTCTGCCTGGGTTAGGGGCCAACCCAGACAGCACGGCGGGAGCTGGGTATTAGAGAAATTAGGAAAGCCTCGCAGTGGCCAGTGTGTAAGGGCATAAGCCCTGGGGCACATTTTGCCTGGGAGCTACCTCTGGACTCCTTGCCTCAGTGAGGAAACGATCCTGGGCCCACTCCCAGCCCCCCAGACAGGTGTCTCCTGGGCCCAGAGCAGAAAACACCTCACCTCTATCAAGGATTTTCTCTGCCTGTTCAAGGGGCACAGCTGCCTGTCTCACATGCAGAACACAATTAATATAAACCTTGATCTGGGACAGAGATCATTGTGTTACCAAGCAAATGTGTTCACTCCTCAATAATTTGGCCGTTTTTATTTTTAATTTCCTGTCCTCTACTAAACTATTCAGGTGCTGTGACAGCTACCCTTCCTTGGGTCCCAGCATCCCCCAATGTCCTCATTTCCTCCCCAAGGACCCTATAGGCCAAAGATACCTTCTGTTCCTAAGCCAGTGAGAAGTTTTGCTACTGGCAGGTCTGACACCCTTCCCTTCCCCCCAACCCCCAGTCCTCCTCCACTCCCCCTAAACCACCTCATCCTCCTATTCCCCATGTCTTGCTAGAGCTGCCTCCAAGAGCACCACGGTAAGAAGTTGGGGGTGGATGCGGGGGGGAGGGGGGCGGCGGAGGCCTGTAGCTGGGCAAGGCTAAGTCTAGCAGACAACTTGGGCCAGGGCTGGTCTTCCTTGCGGAGCAAGCAGGAACCCTTATGAGGTCTATGTCATCTTAGAAAAATGTACTTGGAGAGCTGGAGTACAGTAGGTTGTGTGTGGGGTGGGAGTAATGGAGGGGTGCAGGTGTCTGTATAAACTTGCAGCAGGTCCTCAAAAGGGTGATAAGGTGGGGTGGGGTGAGGGGAGAGGGAGGGTTAACTTGGCTCCTTTCCCTTCCATTGCCAGTGACTTTGTAGTCCCATTTTGTTCCTCTTCAGAAGGAATGGGACTCCCACCCTGGCCTCAGAGCCCCCCATAGCTCCCAGAAATGGCCTAAAGATATTGGGGTAGCTCATTCCTGAGCTATAGAAGAAAAATCCTGAAATGATGGAGAAATGTGAGGGGGGGGGCACAGAGGTGGAGAAACTATGACTTTGACTCCCAGCAGCTACAAGTGTTTGTCTGACTCTGTGCCTAAGCTGAGCCCAGTAACCTACAAGGTCAGTGTAAATCAGTAATAGGCTCTTGGGATAAGTGGTCTTTAATTACTTCCTTAAGGACACATCTTGATTTCTTTTCTCTCTCAAACTGCTAAGGGTGTTAAGTTTAAGGAGAAACCAAAGGAAATAAAACTGGCAGGAGGAAGGGGTGTTTTCACTGCTGTTTAACTGACTGCTTCATTTTTGGGTTTTGCCTAAAACACACTCACTCACTCACTCACTCACTCACTCACTCACTCACAGAGACCACCTCTGCATCACCTTTTCCCTTCCCTCCTTCCTTGGCTTCCTGGCAGATCCGTGTATTTCCTGTAAAGGAAATGATAAGTGGTCAAAGCTGTCTCTTTGTAACATCCCTTACCAACTTTCAAGCACACATTTACTCTTCTTCAGTTTAGTTTTTGGCAAAGAAAGAGGTGGTGGTTGAGTTTGCTGACTCTTTCCTCGCTCCACATTTGAGTTAATCAGCCAGGGTATTCAATAAATCGAAACTTTAACATTCCATAAGTGCTTTAGCAGTCAACATTCCAGCAGGGTAAAATAGGCCAGACTTAAGATATAAAATATTATAGATTTCTGCTTGGGGGGAAGAGGTAGTCTCCAAAGGCCATGTAAAGTAAATAGCTATTTGTTGTAATTGGAGAGCAGGGCCCCCAAGGATTACCCTGGAATCCATGCATTCAGAAAGAGTCAGGCTGAGCCCAAGAGCAGCCTCGACTCCAAATAATAACCTGTTGGCACAGCCTATGCTCCCCCTCTCCACCCATCCCCCATTCTGCAATCAGTAGCCAGGAGTATTTCAGTCTCTGCCTGGCTGGTGGCGTTTACATGAGGTTCACAAGGATACTGACATTCCTGAGGGGCACCTGTGGGCTGGCAGAATAGAGCTTGGGAGCCAGATTGGAGGAGAGGCCTCTTGCCAGGTGGGATGGAACAGGCTCATGCAGCTGCTTTGGTTTTTGAGCTATCTGGTTCTTATTTGGCCAGGTACCAAAACAGCACTGCCTTGGCCCTGAAGGGCTGAAAGGATGGCTGAGGGCATTCAGGCGAGTTATGGAACTAGATTAAATGACATATTAGCCAGTCATGTAGCTAAGTTCTAAAGCAGTGGGACCCAGAACAGATTCATTTTGAATGAAGCCATGGGAGAGAAGGTATAAGAAGAGTCTGGAAATTATCAAACACAGGCCAGAGCCTGAGGTGGGCAGGTCAAGATGAAGCAGAGTAGAGGGAAGTCCTGGGCTTTGAAGGGGGTGAAAGCACTGAGGACAAACCTTGTCTACTTAATACTTCGCTTCAACATTTTGCTGTTAACACCCCTCTCCAGCTGTAGTTGGGAAAATGTGAAACTGGCTTATTTTCTCTCTCCCTTCATGCTGGCTGGAATTCAAGAGAAGGTTTAGGAATATCTGTTCCATCATCATGTGCCACTGGGTTCCCACAGTTTGAATCCAGCTAATAGGAAAGTTGGCAAAGGGAAATGATGCCCAAAGACAGCTGGGCAGGGATGATTCCAACTGTTAGAGACCCCTGGTTACTGGACACAACCCAAGTGACTTCCTGTATGATCTGTCCTTTGGCACCAGGGTTAACAGAGTTGGAGAAAAACCGTGGTGACTCAAAGGCCACACCTCTTGGGTTTCATGATTTGTTCTCACACCAGGTCTTGGATGGTGAGATCACAAGCTGCCCTCTGCTACTTAATGAGCTCAGGGTGGTCAGAGACATGAGATACTTAGAGAATGAGGGAACCAAGACTCAAAGCTCAGAAGTAAACTGCCTAAGCAAAGCAAAGAACTAAAGGCTCCAGCAGGTTGGTATCCCTCAATGTTTATCACCCAGAACTGAATCATGACCTGACTTCTCATTTCCTGGCCATACTGGCCACTCTCCTTTGAACACCCTTCTGGCTTTCTGTGGCCCTCTTTAAACACAGTAGAATTCAAAACTGCATTCTTACTGTGATCTGAGGCAGAGTAGAATGGGGCAACCCCTGCCCTTATGCCAGTTACTAGATCTCAATCAATACAGTCTTAAATATTAATTTTTATTTCCTTTTTTCTATTTGTTTATTGGCTTTTTAGTAATTTTTAATTTTTACATGACTAACTTAACATTAGCTTTTTAAAATCTCGTGACTCAGCCATACTGAGCTTACCTTGTTCAATCAGATTCCATAAGCTATTGTTGTGTATGTCTTGCTAAGCCACATCTCCCCATCCCAAGATATAGTTAATAAAAATGCACAGGAATACAAGAGTAGTCCAACAGTCCAATGTTTTCAAGAAAATATACATAGCTTCCTGGAGGGGGGAGGAGTATGGAAATAAAAAGAAAGAAATAGATAAATTCATGATTAATACTTGAGGCTCACCCTCCCTCAACACAACTCCAAACACAAAACATCTTGGTTAACTGGTTTCTGGACCAAAGTGCAGGACTTTACATTTATTCTAATCAAAGCTTATTTGGTTTGAGTCAGCCCATTTTTCCATTCTCTTAAAATCTCTGGATTTTTATTGTTACCCTCTCAGCTGTATGTCTTCTGAAACTAGGGTAAACAGTTCCCATGTCCTCTTATAAGTCATTTATTAAAATGTTAAACAGGGCAGAACCAAAATCAGAACCCTGTTCAGTGTAACTAAAAGATCAGTATCTGCTTAACCCCTACTTGGCACCAGGTAATTTTCCCCTCCCCTCCTACCATCTTGTGTCAATCTCCTTTTCCAAAACTCTTGTGTGTGTATGTGCTATGAGAGTTAGTAACCACCAGACTGAGAATAAAACTTGGAGGATGTCAATGCTAGAGGCCAGAGGCTATGCTTTGAGTGTTCTGTACAGTGGGAGCAGAAGAGAGTTACATTCTTTGAAAAGGTCTGTGTGTGCCCTAAAAGCTTCCATACCTGAATACCCACCCACTGGCCCAAATCACTGGGGCTTTTCAGAAGACTTCCCGCTGGACTCTTGAACCTGATTTCAAAATTGACCACTTAATTTTTTTAAGGAGATCTTTAAGGAATCAGTCCTACTCCCTGTGTAGATTTCATAGAATATTACTACCCTTAAGAATTACATTTTTGGATAAGAAAGACAGCCAGATATGAGCTCATTTCATACCTTTGGATGCCTCTGGAGTCAGTTGTATCAAGTTTTAATCTACATGTTGAAAAACATGATTAGAGAATATCAAAAAGAAATCTAGTTGACCATTGCATCCGTATCCATATAATAGATGTGTTATGTTAGAACAAAATTGTGAAGTCATCAGTATCCCCAGGATTTCAGTTCTGGTTCCTTTTTCCCTCTTAGTACTCAATGTCTTTTTTCCCCCCTGCTACTGCTGGGTAAATGAAAACGTTTTCAAATCCTCACCTCTAACTTTGTCAACTAGAGGAACATTTCTGAATATCTTCCTCTTCCCCTTAAAGTTGCAACATCTCAAATCAGTATCAAGTCTAATACTACCTGCCAACTCTTTGCCATAGATAGATTTAAAATCCACAAGAGAGAAGGGGAAAATGACAGGCTTGTCGGCCTGCAGCTGCACTGGCCAAAAGTACTTTTGAGGAGAAAGCTCTCACCAGGCCAAGTTTTGCTTCCTGCCATAGGACAGAGGAACAAATTTAGTGAGTGGCCTGTGTGGCCTTTGTTAGAGTCAGCTACAGGCAGTTGACAGCCTCATGTGGCTTTAGGGACATGGGAGCTAAGAGGGTACAAAACAAGTTCAGCCTAGAGGACAGCAAGGTAATGCTGTGAGCTCTGGGGAATCAGAAAGTGACTTTGGGAAGATACAGAAACTTGGCCACATTGTTTCATTTCAAAAGCTGCCCTCCTATTTCTTGAAATGGTGGCGTTTAACAGTACCTTGAAATTATGAAGCTTTTGTAGCCAAAGTCTTCTCACAGTCTCTTCCTTATTATATGCCTAAGAGTGTTGAGTAGAGGCAGAGATTGTCCCCCATTTTACATATGGACTGACTGAGGCCCAGAGAGACTCAGTTTCTTCTCTGAGGTTCTGTCCTTGCTGCAAAAGATGGTTTCATCAGGTAATTCACCAAAGGCACATGGTGCTGGCCTTCAGTTGGGGATAAAAGACCAGCTCGTGTTACCCGGACAGCTTTCTGTTAGCTTGATATCAGTGATGGAAATGGCATTCACTGTTTTGCTCTAGGAATTCTGGAGTTTATCAGCCTGGCTGTAGGGCTGATCAGCATCCGGGGAGTGGACTCTGGCCTGTATTTAGGAATGAACGAGCGAGGAGAACTCTATGGGTCGGTAAGTTGTTTGTTTGTTTGTTTTTCTCTCAGAAGCTATTACCACCAGTGTTTGGATAATGTAAGGCAAAACATTTATCTAGCATTTAAAAGCACTTTTGTCAACTTTAAAGGATTAGTGTCTTCTAGTCAATTCTTGACTGCCCAGAAACTTGCTACATAACACTCTCACTCATTCAGTCCCCATGAAAACAGAAGCTTTTCTGTGGTATATTTGCTTCTGCTTTCTCCATTAGAGTGTCAGCTCATCTGATAATAATAGGAAGCTGTACTGGTTTGTCAGTAGATGGTAAGGGTTTGAAGCATTAACCCTCCCAAGGAGTATATCTGATTTGTGATGGGTACCCAGAGGAGTAGCCAACTAGCTGGCACAAAAATAGGCAGTGAGAACTGGCCTTGAGATTGAGGATTCTGAAATAAAGAACAAAGTCTTTGATGTCCAAATTGCTTCAGCTGAATCCCAAAGGCCAAATGAAGCAAACAAACAAATGAAGAGTGAGGATTCCAGGGTCTGGTGACAGCCCTAAGTCCCCAGCTAGGACTGGATTGGCTGCAGCACATGTTCTCTATTCTGGAATCCAGCCCAGAGCTGGGGAATGGTGAGTGACTTTGCTGATCTTAACCCTTCTGGGGGATCCCAACTCCTGGCTTTGGCTTTTGAGTCACAGAGCATACTTTTTGGCTGCCTGCATCCCATGAAATCAGAGCACATTCTTCTCTGACACCTAAGAGATAGGCCTGTCCCCAGCACTCAGTATCGGCAACCCCAGCAAGTAGTATTGTGGCTGAATCAAGTGTGAGAAGGGATAGAGGCAAGAGACCCAGGAGCTGCCAGCTTGAAGTAGCCAGATTGGAGGAACTTCTCAAGGAGATTTTTTTCCTGAGCTTTCCAACTGACAGGCCCTGAGACCCTTCATTAGGAGAGATCACAGCTCGCCTCCCATGGAGCTTTATATAGATCTGAGGCCTTTGCCTGTCAGTTGATGTGGTTGACGGCAATCTCAATGGATTTGAACATCTTTAGCCCTAAATAGGGAGAAAGCTCAGAGGTGTCAGTTGGCATTGGGAGGCAGAAATTCTCAGGCTCAGAGTGCCAGGTGAGCCCATCTCTTCCAGTCTCTTGCTTTCAGAAAAGATCTCACCTGAAACATTTTTGCGTGGCTCATGAAAGAGGGTGAAAGCAATACAAACAAGACTGTTTCATAGTATTTGGGAAGAAGATGCCTCAGTAATACCGGGAGATAGGCCTGAAATTTTCTAATATAAATGTGCTATTTATCATTTTAGTTTCTCCACCAGCAAGCTGGGATGGGAGAAATAGTCATATAATGGGCTCTGCTTTATTTTCTCACCCTCACAGAAGAAACTCACACGTGAATGTGTTTTCCGGGAACAGTTTGAAGAAAACTGGTACAACACCTATGCCTCCACCTTGTACAAACACTCGGACTCGGAGAGACAGTATTATGTGGCCCTGAATAAAGACGGCTCACCCCGGGAGGGATACAGGACTAAACGACACCAGAAATTCACCCACTTTTTACCCAGGCCAGTAGATCCTTCTAAGTTGCCCACCATGTCCAGAGACCTCTTCCGCTATAGGTAACGGACCCCTAGTGTGACCTCTGTGACCCATATAACTCTGCGGCCACAGTTGTCCCTGGAAGCACTATACTCATAGCTTTTCAATCCTCTTTCCTATCAATTTAGATAACAAAGAAGCACTTACTGTTCAACTCGACCCAGCTGTTCCTTCATTGTTCAAAAGTATATATCAAGGTTGGGTTATTTTGGGGAGGGGTGTGGGGGGATGGGAGGTCTAGAGGGAATCTTGTATATACTTTTTTCTTTACTCACGTTCTTTCCCCTGAGGTGGCACAAGAAAGAATGGGGCCCCCTACCAAGGGCCAGAGGTGTCTTGCCCCACAATCTACCCAAATACCTTAAAGTGTGTAAATGAAAGACCAAGGAATCTGCCATAGATGCTACCTACAGAGCTTTGGAGAAGTCTCATTAAGAAAATCCTTGGGGCTCTCCAGCCCTACTGCAAGCCATTCCTGTATTGGCTCTGCAGATTTATCATCTGTCCTGACATGCAGTTTTCCTGACGTTGAAAGTGGGAGATGGGGTAGGTTGTAAGAAAATGACATTAAAATATAAGCATGGATACTGTGCATAAAGACAAACTATTTATGAAATGTATATGCTATTTATTTTATATATTTATTTATTTCAAAATAATTTTATTTTTAATGAGAGATGCTATGACTGGATTTTCATCAGAAAGAATAAGGTCCTACTGAAACAGGATAAATGAGTTATCAAAGGCTTTTATTGGCAATAAAATTGTCTTTATATTGTAACCACTGTCTAACTCTATTGATTTGTACACTTAGTAAGATTAGAAGGTTTGTTGGCTTCTTTTGCTACTCATTAGAATTTCTTGATGTTGGCATCACACTGCCTAGCCTAGGTGACTCACTATCTACAATACTAGCATTATCTAGGAGCCCTATCTGAAGTTCTTTCTGGTTCTGTGACTTTACACTTAGTGGTGAATCAAAGCTTCAGAAAGGCCTGGACCATCAGCTCTTATGGAAGCTCCCATTTGTGCTTAGGACTAAGCATAGAGAAACCCTCCTCTGGAATTTGGTTAGGGCCCAAAGCCCAAAGGTCAGCAACCCTAATTGGTGGCTTCTTACTTAACATATGAAGATGAGGTAATTTGAAATAAACAGCAATCAATGATCTTTTGAACCAGTCAACCTTCCCTTCCAGAGGTGTTCTCCCACTCTCTCTCTAAACCCCTACCCCTATCCTCTTCCACTGTTTCTCCTAGAGAGTTCTGGGAATCTGTTAACACATGTTCCTGAAGCAACAGTTCTTAGAGTATATGGTCTTTTCACCAGCAATATCATCTGGGTCCTTGTGAGAAATGGAAATTATCAGGTCCTACCCTAGACCTCGGAGAAGGCAATGGCAACCCACTCCAGTACTCTTGCCTGGAAAATCCCATGGACGGAGGAGCCTGGTAGACTGCAGTCCATGGGGTCCCGAAGAGTCGGACACGACTGAGCAACTTCACTTTCACTTTTATGCACTGGAGAAGGAAATGGCAACCCACTTCAGTGTTCTTGCCTGGAGAATCCCAGGGACAGCGGAGCCTGGTGGGCTGCCATCTGTGGGGTCGCACAGAGTCAGCCACGACTGAAGCGACTTAGCAGCAGCAGCAGCAGCAGCAACCCCAGACCTGCCAAGTCAGAATCTCTGGGGGTGAGGCCCAGCTATCTGCATGTTAACAGCCTTCCAGAGGATTCCTGTGCACAACAAAGTTTGAAACCGAGTACTCTAAAAGGATAATTTTCAGAAAGAATTCTTTTTGTATCTGAATGACTTATACATGAAGTTTTAGGATAACTTCAGTCCATAAAAGAAGAGTAGCTGTAGTTGAAGTGGGGAAGGTATTCCTGGAGCTCTCCCTTCTTCAGAACAGCCTCTTAGATATCTTGCTTTAAAATCCCTGACCCCTTTACTGATAATTACTGAGGTGGGAGTATAGGGCTATTTGCATTTTCAAAGTAAATGCTGTCTGGATACAAGAACCGAAGGAATAAAAGTCTCATTGGCACCCTGGCACCATGAAGTACTGGTGGTAGCAGGTTTGGAGTTAGGATAGTTTCTCCTGATGCTACTCAGTGACATCCACTATTTTCCCAACTGATTGGTGAAACAAATAGTTTAGATAGCAGCTCACTTAAAGTCAAAACCATAAACTCTATAGAAGTTCATTCAAATCTAAGTACTCGAAAGAGAATACATATATGAAAGAGCAAATAAGGCTGTATGATAGAAAGTGCTAAGTTGCACCATGTATGTGATTACAGACTAGAGTGCTTGCCAATGGAACCACCAAGACAGAGATCTCACAGGGCTGGGGTAAGTAGGGGAAGTTTCCTAAAAGGGGTAATGCCCCGCTTTGAAGAACCAACAGGAGGGTTTGGAGAGCCAAGAGGCTGATGGCAATGTCTGTGTTGGGCTACAGGGAAGAAACACCACTTCTAGAGGTCTCTGGGAGAGGGTAAAAATCAGCTGTGTGACATTTTTTATCACATTTTTAATGTGCATCACACCTTTATTTTAAAGCCAAAATTTTACCTATATTCTCTATGGTCAGCTACCTAGATACATAGCCCCAACTTCTGAGGGCTTGTGAGATAAGTGAGATCTGTTTTAACCAATAGGAAGCAGGCACTTCCCTGTGAGTAGAGTGAGTATTACTCTAGCAAGGCACTTGACATGGGCCTGGCAAGGCCGCAAGCACCATACTACAGGGTGGGATTTACAAGGAAAATGCCAATGTAATGAAAAGGAAAATATTCCAAATCCTAGGGTCAGGACTTACCTTTTTCCTCTGTGTGGAAGTAGAGGGCAAAAGAACAGAAGGATCCCAAGATGCAGAAGGAGGTCATATGGGAGGCATTCTTGGAACTTTAGGAATAACAATGAATAGGGCACGTTGCTAGAAAATGTCAATAGGCATCTGTTCTCCTGGTCAGAAAGAGGGAAAAGATAAATTCTGGAAATGAAAGTATAAGATGGATGACCTAGTACCACTAGATCAATCGGCAGCTAAAGACACCATATCCCCTAAGTGTTAAAGTAATGGATTTTGTGCCAACCTAGAGGGGATTGTAGAGTCATAAGCTCTGGACCTCTGGTTTTGGATGAAAACATGCACAGAGACAATTTCTTTTCATTCCCTCCCAGTGTTTAGGGTGTTCCTGGAACAAAACAAACATGTAGGAAATGTTTGTTGAATAAACAAATGGTTGGTTGAAAGAATGAATGAGTAAATGAGTGAATGGACAAAGACATAGAGACTTTTAGCAAAGAGGTATATGATGCAAATGCCGGGCTAGAGAGAGCAAATGCATTATTTAACAATCATCTGAACTATTAAGTTTCCAGTACACTTAAATATGCATGGTGACAAACTAGACTCTATCTTAGGAAAGATAGTGAATTCCCTGTCATTGGAAGTGCTTAAGCTGAGGCTAGACAAACTTTTGACAAGGATATTTTATCATTTGCATGGAACAAGGTGAATGTTAGATACAAGTGACAGAATGTGGTGGCATTATTTATGAACTACATACTCCATGGGACCCCCAGATTTCTCATGAGCACCTGTAATGTTTCAAGAAAGAGTGTTATAAGACCTAGGAATGCTACAACTTCTATACACAACTGCTATTCCAGACCAAGAGAAAGACTGTACACCAGAGGTTCCAAACTTGGAGTTCACAAGGTCCTTAAAGGTCCACAGAAGGCCCTTTGGGCCTGAACTCCCAGAATAGTATGCAAATTTTTATGTGTACATACATTTAATCTTCCGTTAGTTCTCAAAGTTTCCTCGCAAATGTTAGGAACCACTACACTTAAGTTTGGCGACAGAGAGGTGGGAGTGAGGGGAGGGAGGAGCTGGGCGGCTTCACTGCCCAGTGGCTCTGAACAAAGTTCAACCCAGGACCAGCCTTGACAACATTTCTGATGGCAACAAGACTCTTTCCCCTCCCTGTGCAGCCCTCTTTTCACCTCGACTGCTACAGCCAAATGTTGTTCATGGTTAAGAAACAATGAGAGACTGAACCCACCAGGTCCAGACACAAGGAGCTTATCAGAGCCATCAGAGGAAACTCCCTCCTCAAAGGAATTTAATCAAAGGTTTAAAATAATAAAATAACCCAAGTTTATATTACCTTCAGGTCACTGTAGTGCTCTGCCACTGCATCCCTGGCTACATAGAAATCCAATTCAGGTTCCAGCTCTAGTGGGACCGCAAGTGACACAGGCTTTGTCCAAGTTGCTTAGAGCACAGGCTTCGCCTTCCTCCTCCTGACTCTTCAACTGATCTTTGGGGACTGCTGCTTTCCTTCTCTCTGGAGTAGCTGGAGCTACACTGCCTTTCCCCAGCACTTCATGAACAGGGAGCTGTTGAGGAGGAATGTGGAAGGTTAGGGAAAAAGGGACCAGTGAGGAAAGACACTGTGTTTTGGAAACACACATTCATGGTCAGTCATCTAAGCAACTTACTTGTTTAGCAGGAGGAACAGAACATAATTTAGATTGTCATTCCTAGAACTCCTTCTGTTCTCAAAACAGAAAATGGAAGACTTTTCTAATAGGCCTCTACACAAGGGCTCTGGTGTTAATTGCAGAGCCAACTCTCTCCTTGACCCTCATAGTCTCTTTCCACTCTTCCAACCCAGCACAAGCTATTGCCCCTCTACATCTCTTTCCAATTCCCAGATGAAGTATGGGGTCAACTCTGTTCCTTATCATTGGCAATGTAGCAAAAGACACACAATAACTTGTTCTGCAGGTCCTGAAGTCAGACCAACCTTGTTTTATATCCAGATTCCCTTACTTCCTCTTTGACCCTGAATAAATTCATTAATTCAACTGGTATTTATTAAGAAATTTTACATCTTCAGAAACATTACAGTAAATAAGACAGATGTAGTTATGCTCCTCCTCACATGGTCTAGTCGATAAGACAAATGTAAACAAGTTAAACCTACAAATTGTAATAAGTTCTGTAAAGAA